ACGAGGGTGGATCCTGAAGGGGCCCGGGGCCGGGTCTTTTTACAAAAATGTATGTAGTGTCCGACTGGCTACAAACTATTAAAAGCTATCTATGAAAAGCTGAGACTCTCACGAACATGTAACATGTTTAGCTCTATGATGCTCACAAGCTACACAAGAGTAGTTAGAAGGTAAGGGGTTCTTCTACATACAGTTGAAGTCGGAAGTTTACATACACATTTACATTTTAGTCATTTAGCAGACGCTCTTATCCAGAGCGACTTACAGTTAGTGAATGCATACATTTTCATACTGGCCCCCCGTGGGAAACGAACCCACAACCCTGCCGTTGCAAACGCCATGCTCTACCAACTGAGCTACGGAGGGCCTGTACACCTTAGCCAAATACATTTAAACTCAGTTTTGTTTTAATCCTAGTAAAAATTCCCTGTCTTATGTCAGTTAGGATCACCACTTTATTTTAAGAATGTGAAATGTCAGAATAATAGTAGAGAGAATTGTGGAGGTCTACAATTTTTTTTCTGAAGTCTTGGCTGATTTATTTAGATTTTCCCATGATGTCAAGCAAAGAGGCACTGAGTTTGAAGGTAGGCCTTGAAATACATCCACAGGTACACCTCCAATTGACTCAAATGATGTCAATTAGCCTGTCAGAAGCTTCTAAAGCCATGACATCATTTTCTGAAAATTTCCAAGCTGTTTAAAGTCACAGTCAACTTAGTGTATGTAAACTTCTGACCCACTGGAATTGTGATACAGTGAATTATAAGTGAAATAATCTGTCTGTAAACAATTGTTGGAAAAATTACTTGTGTCATGCACAAAGTAGATGTCCTAACCGACTTGCCAAAACTATAGTTTGTTAACAAGAAATTAGTGGAGTGGTTGAAAAATGAGTTTTAATGACTCGAAGTGTATGTAAACGTCCGACTTCAACTATAGAAGATCATATGAAATCCCAGGACATAGTGTCTATAATACTGTAATAAGCTCACATAGTTGCTGTCACAAACTCCAAACTCCACACAAATCAAATCAATTTTTATTGGCCACATGCGCCGAATACAACAGGTGCAGACATTACGGTGAAATGCTTACTTACAGCCCTTAACCAACAGTGCATTTATTTTAAATAAAAAAGTAAAATAAAACAACAACAAAAAAGTGTTGAGAAAAAAGAGCAGAAGTAAAATAAAATAACAGTAGGGAGGCTATATATACAGGGGGGTACCGGTGCAGAGTCAATGTGTGGGGGCACCGGCTAGTTGAGGTAGTTGAAGTAATATGTACATGTGGGTACAGTTAAAGTGACTATGCATAAATAATTAACAGAGTAGCAGCAGCGTAAAAAGATGGGGTGGGGGGGCAGTGCAAATAGTCCGGGTAGCCATGATTAGCTGTTCAGGAGTCTTATGGCTTGGGGGTAGAAGCTGTTGAGAAGTCTTTTGGACCTAGACTTGGCACTCCGGTACCGCTTGCTGTGCGGTAGCAGAGAGAACAGTCTATGACTAGGGTGGCTGGATTCATTGACAATTTTGAGGGCCTTCCTCTGACACCGCCTGGTATAGAGGTCCTGGATGGCAGGAAGCTTGTCCCCAGTGATGTACTGGGCCGTACGCACTACCCTCTGTAGTGCCTTGCGGTCGGAGGCCAAGCAGTTGCCATACCAGGTGGTGATGCAACCAGTCAGGATGCTCTTGATGGTGCAGCTGTAGAATTTTTTGAGGATCTGAGGACCCATGCCAAATCTTTTCAGTCTCCTGAGGGGGAATAGGCTTTGTCGTGCCCTCTTCACGACTGTCTTGGTGTGTTTGGACCATGATAGTTCGTTGGTGATGTGGACACCAAGGAACTTGAAGCTCTCAACCTGTTCCACTACAGCCCCTCGATTTTGAGTTGTTGTTGTTGACTCAATAAGTAGAATATCAATGTGACCTTTTGCGCACTCCAGCTTCCCCTCCAGTAGATCTGGGCTGGAGGAAAGGTTGTTAGAGCCGCCGTGTTTCACCATCATCTTTTCCCAATAGAGCGTGCTAAGAAAACAAATTATTTTGTTGAATTATTGCCTATTAAAGAAAGTATTTGTAAAGAATGGAGCCTATAATGAAGTTACACATAAGTAAATAAATCAGTTGTACATACTAAAAATAAAAATACATGTTTTCTATGTTTTTGTAATGATTACAAAATTATATTTCCACTATATATAAAAAAAGAAATCTGAGTATGAACAATATCTTATGAGTTTTAAGCTTGTCATTTATCATTTTACTTAACTGTTCTATGTTTTGTTAAATGATAACTGACATATGTGCTCTGTTATAGTTAATGCATTTCTTATTACTGACATATGCAATCATTTGAGATATATTTTTTCATAACAAAAATGCACAGTATCCTATGACAGGTTAACATTTCAAGGAACCATAGTGAAATACTGAATAAAGTTGTGTTTTTAATACTATCGTTCAGAATCTCTGTCTTTTAATGGTTGGTTAATAGATGTCTATAAAAAAATGATTCAACATCACAGAACAATCATAGACATGTATTGACATGTATGACTGTCTGGCATGTAGAATGGGGAATTGTGTCAGCTCTAAAGATTACATTTCTATCTGCAAACATTCTGAACATTCCACCTCACTGAACACAACATGGTAGGGCTGCAGGTAACCTAGCGGTTAAGAGTGTTGCACCGGTAACCGGAAGGTCACTGGTTTGAATCCCTGTGCAGACTAGGTAAAACAACTGCCGATGTGCCCTTGAGCAAGGCACGTATCCCTAATTGCTCTGGATAAATGCGTCTGCAAAAAGATAACATAATTACCTAAGTTCTCTGTGGCAGGAAGCCAAGTAAAGCTTACCAACATGGGGTGACAAAGCTTTGCACCAAAAAAATAACACAGGAGTGAAGAGTGATATGAGAAGTCACCACCCAATTATGACGACGAGACAGTCTGCCTCTCTTCCTGTCCCTTATCTCTGCTTTACTACAGCATCTGTGCACCTAAAGGTTTATTCTAGAAGGACATACAGTAGCAACAAAAAACTTTCTCTCATCTTTCTCTCATCACTTGTTCCATTCAAGAGCTTCATAAGCACTTCAGCCTTTAGTTAGCTTTACTTAATCACCAATAATATTGAGTGACAATACTTAATGGACAGCATCACTCTGTCCAACTGAACAGCTTGCCTCTACCACCTTTTAGCAGGAAGAGAAAAGTATAATCGACTTTAGCTGAAACAGGAAAAAACACTTGGTGTTGCAATGTAGGACTGTAAGAGAAACAGGGAGCAGGTCATATATTGAGTTTGGTGTGTTGCTGCTACCGCCACATGATTTCTCTGTCATCCATAATCGCATAGAAAACAAGAAGTGAAATATCACAAAGTGAAACAAAACCAAAACATGTATGGACATGAGTGAAAACAGGAAGGAGGAAAGTGGTTAAAATTGTGTTTTGTGGTAAAAAATTGGAAAACATTCAGCTTAACCAAAATACAAATAGGATCAAGTTCTGTCATGAATATTCCAGGTCAGTTCTTCTATTCCATTCCATGTCACATTTATTCCGAATCACACACACACATATATATATATATACAGTATATATATATATATTTTTACAACATCACACAATCTGGTCAAAAATAGCCCATTGTATTCACAAGACATGTATTGACTTGTATGTCAATGTTTAAAACAAAGGATTAGTGCGTCACACACCGTGCAGCCCTAAAATCATCTATCTTTCTCTATATATCTCTCCCCACCCTCTCTCTCCACCTCCTTATTTTCTGTTTACTCTTATCTTTCCTTCTCCCACAGCGTGACCTGGTTGACAATGCCCGCTACAGTCCTCTCTTAGTAAAACAAACAGTGGAGTATTCAGACGGATATCGAGGAAACAGAGCTGTGAAAAGTGCACAGGACACACAGAGAAATATTATTGTCTCCCTCTCCCACCACATCTGACCAATGATGTCATTAACCATGGCTGTGTGTGTCAGCCTGTTGCAACAAAGAAATTAACTCAAGCCTGGGACATCTGGGACAGAGTGGGAAACCCTATCTCATGCAGCTGTCAGACAGGGTAAAACCAGCCTGTAGACAGGGTAAAAACAACACTGGGCTTCCCCAGAGTGGGTCAATTTACAGGATATTGTGATACCGACTTGATGAAATCAAAAGTGAAACAATTGTTGTAAAAAGAGAAACATACTCTTATTCATTAATTATATACAGTAATGGAATAATAAAATAACAGTATATCATTGTAAAATATAACATTAAAATTACAAAATAGTACAGTAACATGCACAAGTCTTACTAAAACTTTAATATTCTGTGAGTTGGGGATTTCTTCATACAGATAATCATGAATGAATTGTGAATAATATTGAGTGAGAAAATTACAGATATATAAATATCATACTCCTAAGAAAATCCTAAACTCCCCTGTTATTGGTAATGGTGAGAGGTTAGCATGTAACTTTCTAACTCATCATTAATCACGATTTATTCAGGATTATCCGTAATCATGGTAGCCACTTTAATATAGAAGAAAACATATTATATTCTTATTTATAATAAAAGTGACTCCAAAATGACAAAATACATTATTTACCATTCATTTCTATTGGGCACAACATAATCCGAAACACAACCAAAACAAACAGCAAATGCATCCAACAAGTTAGTAGAGTCACAAGCTTGATGTAATCATTGTGTGCTAGAATTATGGGACCAAATACTAAACTTTTGACTACTGTAATACACTATAAGTGAATTTGTCCAAATACTTATGACACCTTCAAATGGGGGGGGGGGACTAGATACTTAAAGTGCATTCATTTCTAAACGGTAAAACAGATATGTATGAAAACACCCTAAAATAAAAGGTGACATTCTGTACTGTCGCCGAATATAAAGCATTTCATCTCAAATCCAAAATGCCGGAGTATAGAGCCAAATAAAACGTTTTAGCTTCACTTTCCAAATAAATATGTAGGGGAGTGTAATAATCTAAATGTATGATGTATGTGTCTGCTGAGAACCAGGTTTCCTCTTAAATCCATTACATTCAGTGAAGTGCTCTGTACAAATAGTAATACAATAGATGTAGGTTTGAATAATTAATGCATGATTCATTCCAACAGATTCTACAGAGCCTGACGACATCGATAGGTAAAACAAAACGTGACGATCAGACAACCAGCTGACTTTATAAAAATATAGAAATATACATTTAGCCTGAGTGCTTTCCATTAAAGTGCAATTCAAAGAAAGCAGTCCTCATAAGGGGCTTTCTACTACGCTTGTCTTTCTCTCATGACACAGGTTACGGTCATCCACCAATCCCCAGACCCAAACCCATGACCCATACATCAACTTCCCCTCAAGGCAGGATGACATACTGTATTAGTCATTAGGATCCTCTTCCTACCCATCAGCTCTGGGTGGACTGTACCTGTCCCATGGGGGTCATTGGGTTCAATGTCCCCTTCTCTTCTGCTTGGTCAGGTGAGTCTTCAACCACACCTGAGTCCCACAGTGAGAGATTCGGATCGTCCTGCACCCTCTCAACACACCTCACCATATCCAGCACGCGTCGCCGGAAGTTTCTACAAAGGCCGAGATGGAGCACTGGGTTGAGGCAAGCGTGCAGGCAGGCTAGAGCGAACGTGACCACCAGAATGTTCTCCAGAGCTTTCCTCCCGTTTTCACATGACTCAGAATCAGACTCCCCAGGCCTCCCCTGAAAGGTGTCCACCATGAGGGTGATGTTGTAGGGCGTCCAACAGAGGAAGAAGACCAGCACCAGGGCCAGGATGACCCGGACGGCCCTCTGCTTCTGGAGGCCCTGGGAGCCGCGCTGCAGCCGCAGCAGGATGCAGGAGTTGCAGAAGAGTAGCACGGCAGAGGGGAGGAGGAAGCCCACCGTGTGGTAGAGCAGGCGGGAGGCCAGGCGCCAGTCAAAGCCAGACTGGGAGAGGGACGGGTAGTTGTGGACACACTCCACTTTGTCTCGTCCGGTGTCCCTCACAGACTCCAGGAAGTGCCAGTCGGGGATGGAAAGGAGGAGGGAGAGGAGCCACACGGACAGGCAGCTGGCCTGCACCATCCAGGGCTTCCTGCGAGAGTACATCTGGACCGCGTGGACCACGGACAGGTACCGGTCCAGACTGATGCAGGCCAGCAGGAAGATACCACAGTAAAAGTTGATCTGAGGAGAGAGAGAGAGAGAGAGAGAGAGAGAGAGAGAGAGAGAGAGAGAGAGAGAGAGAGAGAGAGAGACGACGAGACGAGATTATAGAGAGAGCTCTAAGGAATCTTATCTCTCTAGAGAGCCTCTCTCTCTCTCTCTCTTCTCTTCCGTTCTCTCTCTCCCTCTTCTTTGAGATGAGAGAGAATATCTCCGAGAAAGCTCTGGCTGCTAGACCATTTAAGATGACACAGCTGTGTTCCTCCTCTGCACTTCCTCTTTTCCCAGAAATGTTGAGAGTTTATTAATGGACTCAGAGGAAGAGCCCATTAAGAGTACATTAACTGTGATCTGGATTGAATGATGTATTGAAAGTGTATCCGATGACTTAGTAGAATATTAGGATCTAAAAACCCTTCCTCCCCTTCCTATCCCACACTACCTAGCCCTCGGATTTCACAGCACTAGAACCCCCATCATATACCACACTACTCCACACTAGTCCATTACCCCCTCTCCCTCTCCCCATCCCCAACCCCCCAGTTTATGTGTTCATACAGGTATATACACTTGCTTGACCAGTCCCGTCCCCCCCAGTCCTTACTGTGAACATGGCTCCAGTGATCTTGCAGAGGGGTGTCCCAAAGCGCCATCCCCCAGCAGCCTGAGCAGCCAAGAGGGGCAACGTGAGCAGCAGCAGGGTGTCGGCCACACCCAGGTGCAGGATGAAGGTGTCTGTCACGCTCCAGCTCCGCCTCTTCTGGACCAGAATCACAAGGACCAGCCCGTTACCCAGCAGCCCCAGGACTAGCATCAGGGAGTAGAGCATCGGGAGGAACACCGCGCCAAAACGTACCCCAACGCCATCTTCAGAGGAGCAGTCTTCTTTATAAACATAGTCCTCATCATAGTTATAGGTGCTATTCTCTTGGAATATCCCTCGCAGGTCCAAAGCCATGTCTGTCTGTGGAGAAGTCGAGAATCAGTTGATCGTTTGGGTAATACAGACCAATCTATTGGGTTTAAGACTAAAACAATGCGAGCAGAATATGTGTTGGAGAGGACAACAATTTGCTCTTTCACCAACTTATACCTAGAGAGATCTGTCTTTAGTCTCCAGTCCTCTGTTCTAACACTGACAAGTTGTGTGGGTATGTGTGAGAAAGGGAGATATTCCTTGAAGTGTCTCATCTGACAATGTCCAGATCAGATTATATTCACGCTGCTCACATGGTTCCGATGTCACCAGATGAGGCAACACCACACACAGCATAGTAAGAGTGGAAAGTACAGTTCCCCTTACGGGGGCTGTCCACTGCACTGCAGATCATCTGACTGGTGACATTGACACACTATGGGAGATTGTCTAGCTGTGCTCTAACCACGCTCTCTAACCTCTCTGTAGGTATTCTATACATATCTGATTTTCTGTTAAACCAGAAGGAAAGAGAAAGCGCAAGAGAGAGCGCAAGAGAGAGAGAGAAGACATGTCCTGGGAAATATGGACGTATGGATGCACGGACATATGCACACAAACACACACACACACAGGAATTCAAATAGCATGAAAGACATGAGCGGAGAAAGTTGAACTTGTGTAGGACAAAGACCACAGATGAGGAGAAAATAGAAAACACCTAGACAGTAGAAGGGGTTTGAAATGATAAATGTACTTACCACAGCCACGTTCTATAGCCGATCATTCAGTAGTCCCAGTAGTATTGGAGAGACTGGAGACAAAACTGCTCTGTTTGCTTACACTATAAATAAGCCAGGAGAGAACAGGCAGTTTGTTTGAATGGCTGCATTCCCTGAGCACTTAAAGAAGCAGAACAGAAAAGAGCATAGCAGAAGAGAGGAAAGAGAGAGAACATCTTGAACTAACAGTTCACACAAAACAAAAGTGAAAGAGGTCAAGGGGATGATGCAGGACTCTTAGAAGAGCAGAAGTATAGTCATTTCAGTCCTCTACTCTCACGGTGAGCAGAGTTGTACAGTACACACCCAGAGAACCAGCGCCAGTATTTTGGTAGCTTTGCAGAAGAGCGGTAACGCTTACCGCAGCTGCTGGTTGTGGGTCAATAGGCCCTTTTCACGATGACGTCATCTAACTTCCGCCTTTCCGCGTAGCAGGTTAACTTCACTTCCGTTCGCCCGTAACCTGAGACTTCTCAACGAAAATACAACTGTTGACCACTAACTAGCAAGCTAGCTACTTGAAGAAATTCCAAAAGGTACGTTTAAGTTAAATTAGTAAAGTTAAGAGTAATAATGTTTACGTATATGCAATGGTTTGTAACTTGCTAACGTTATTGTTAATTCATAATTGTTCACTGCCTTAGTTACTTAAAAGTGGGCTAACGTTAGCTAACAACAACTTAGTACCAGATACCGATAACGTTAAAAGATAGCGTTACATTGCTGCCTGGCTGTAATGTAACAAGTTTACTTAGCTAGCTATCTAACCCTTTGTTAGGCAGTTAGTTTATTCATGAATGTATAGTAACTCACCTATTCAAATACTGTTGTGCATGATAGCTAGATAAATATTGATTCCTGGTCAAAGCTGAATGTTAATTTAGCTGTTTCTTTTCTCCCGGTGTCTGTATCGCAACAGTATCCCATCCAACACCGAAGCATGGCACAATCTTCGAGAAGATGCTATTGCAGTGTACCATTTTGTTCAAACAACAAACAGAAATTCCCGTATCTGAGTTTTCACGATTTCCCTGTTGATGGAGAAATACGTGCCCGTTGGGTGAGGGCGATCAGGAGAGATGAGGGACCAAGTTTTAAGATTCTTCGTGGGAGCACCTTTGTTTGCAGTCAGCACTTTCCCCCTGAGGATAGATACACATCGGCCAGTGGACGGATCCGTATTAAACAGGGATCAGTGCCGTCTAGATTCCACTGGAATGATTGGGGTAAGGATAGGTAGACAGCGTTAAACGTAATACTACTGTAATCCAATAATATATTACTTGTACAAAATGTTTAATAATTTAATCCTGATGCAATATAGCTGCTACATTTTGTCATTTTAGGGACTGAAAAGTGATTACCAAAATGTATCATGACAAGCATATGGTTAATTTCACACATATAGGAGGCGGCTCACAAGCTCGGGAGTCAGTTTACCAGCGAGCAAGAAAGCGTCTTGGTGTTGCTGTCCTGGATGATTCTGATCATGAGATGCCTGACAGCACAGAGGGTGCTTTGCCTGCAGTGACAAACGATCACGACTATGCCTGCCATCCTTCTCCTGGTTAGTATTACAAATAAGAGTAACCATGTATCTGTTTGGCAAAAAAAGTAAAAGTATATGGCAGTTAAGTAAAAATACTATTTTATACTACGATTTGGAGTAACTGGTCTCTCTGTGAAAAGACTTGGCGTTTTAAACCTCATCCATCTTAGAAGCTTCTTCAGTTTTATTTATTGAAAATGGGATGGGATAGATGAGTAATAACTAACCTACCAACATGTATGCTTTTTCTTCCCCTTAAGGTAAACTGGACAGTGCTACTCAAAGAATTCGAGAGTTGGAGCTGCAAGTGTTGTCCCTAGAAATTGAGATCCAGCACCTGACAGTTAAGAAGCAGCATCCACTCCTTTTTAATTTTTGTGTCACAGATGAGGACTATCGCTACTACACACGATTCAGCTCAAAGGAGGTCTTCACTGTGTTTTGGGATTCTGTTTATCCCTCTGCTTCACGGCTTGTATACTGGTCTAAGGCACAGCAAACGGCACATGTGACACCTAGCCCTCACCGAAAACTTCCACTTATTGATGAACTATTTATGTTTCTGTGTCGTGTTGCAGCTGGGCTTCAGGAGAAAACCTTGTCTACCATCTTTGAGGTCAGCCTGTCCACAGTTAGCCGCATCATTTTAACATGGACTAGCTACCTTTACCAGGTTCTTGGCTCACTGCCGGTGTGGATGACAAGAGAGCAGGTGCAGGCCACAATGCCTGATAAGTTCAAGCTCTACTGCCCTCAGGTGAGAGTTATAGTAGACTGCACCGAGATCCGCTGTGAAACACCATCCTCCCTCTCACTACAGTCAGAAACCTTTTCGAGCTACAAAAATCACACCACCTTTAAAGGGCTGATTGGTGTAGCTCCATGTGGTGTTATCACATTTGTATCAAAGCTCTACACAGGCTCCATCTCCGACATGGAAATAACACGGAAATGTCAGATCTTGCATTTACTTCAGCCCGGAGATGCTGGACGGTGAAAGGTAGGTGTTGCACACTTGGACACAAAGGAATTTTCACACGTGCAATAATAATTCATATTTTGTTGGGCTACAGTGCTTTCACTACCAGGTAAAGTGCAATTTCACCTTTTTTTTTATTTAACTCACAAAACTGATAAAACTACTAGCAGATATTTCACTACTTATTCACATACACATTATACATACATTTATATTGCTGCACATAAGCTCAACGTTGCTACATGCTATCAGCTGTTTCTGTAACTGACTGCGGTGCCCCCTCGCTCCCTACCTAAAGGACCCACGGCTGCCTGTGTGAGCAGAGCTTTACAGAATAAACCCACTGAAATACAGTTGCTCTTGCAGTTGAATAAACAAAAATTAACCAAACCATTTAAAAAAAACACGTGAGAATGAAGTGGGGGGTATCCACTGTCCATTCATATGTCCCACATCACTGTCGATCCTGCATAGGTACTATAGGCCTTTACTGAAGTGGCACGGTCATCCAGAACCAACTTAAAGAACTCCAACACGTTTCGGCATCTAGCCTTTGTCAGGGAGTCAAATAGATGTAATGAGAGACCCTGGGTTTTTTCTAGTGGTAATCCACCAATAGGAAACATGGGACACATCCATATACATAATGTTTACATGATTTGACTATTGTAGGCCTGAAGGACACCTACTGGTTTTAAGATGTCTACAACACCTACTCTAGCCCAGAACACCTTGGACACTAGAAAAGACCCATTGTCTCTCATTTCATCTGTTTGACTCGCTGACGAAGGCTAGATGCAAAAACGCATTAAAGTTATTTTAAATTGGTTCTGTATGGCTTGGCCACTTGCAATACAAGCATTTTAATAGTTAAAAAATAGTAGTTTGAGCTTTCTTTTATTTTATACCTTATCCATTAAAAAAGAAACTCAAACTAACTCAGATTTGAGTCCAGGAAGCGCTCCTATCCACATGTTCTCAAAATAATCTTTTTTTTTAATACATCTTTCTGTTCCCTCTACTACTACATGCTACTCAAAGCTACATTATAGCCTTTATCATGGAGCTAATCATTTTAATATGTTTTATCATGTTTCAGAGATGCACCAGGACAATCAACAATTCAGCCTGGACAGGTAATAAGGCAGAGTGTGGCAGCATGACATTTCTTGCTTTCAGTGTTGTTGTTTCAGACATTTTAATCTTTTTTTCAGATAGTAATATCTGATGCTGAGGATCTGGATCCACCGGAAGCAAATCCAGAAAAAATGTCTTGCTACAGGTAAGTAAAAAAAAAGAAAAGATAATGACTGACATAATTTAAATGTATTGAACTGATTACATGGGGAAGACATTTTTGTTTGTAAGATGTTTTAACATGGAAATGGCAATTTCCCAACAGTAAATACACAGACCTGTATTCACCAAATGTTGAGCAGGAGGACGAAGAGCCGGTTGCTGTCAATGTGAAGAATTTCCAACACACAGCAATGTAATATGCTTTTGACTATAGCACTCCAGTTTTTTCACTGTACAATAGTTCTTGTATATCTGGAATATCCACAAATGAATTAACTTTTTGTCATTACAGGGAGGAGACGGACATTGCATTACCTGACATCGTAGCAAACCTGTCTCTTCCTATTGATCATAAAAAAGTCAGCCGGTTTAACATCTCAAGGGATAATGTTTGGGATGGGGCAGTCAGAGGTTTCAAGCGTACAACATATTCTGAAACC